ATATATATATACACACACACACACACACACACCCCTTGGCCTTTTGTTCTTTGGAGTGGCTAAGTAAAAACTGTTCTATAATTCTCTTCTAGACAAATCTATTGAACGCTAAAAGTTGAGGTTTACCACCAATATCAGTAGATTCATCCAACTGAATTCCAAACACATTTATTTCTATAAGATGAAATGTTACTTGAAATTCGTTTTTTGAGACAGAGTCTATGTCACCCTCGATAGAGCCCCGTGATGTCACAGCTCACAATGACCTCAAACTCTTGGGCTTAAGTGACTCTCTTGCCTCAGTCTTCCAAGTAGCTGAGACTAAAGGTGCCCGCTACAACGCCCGGCTATTTTTTGTTGCAGTTTTGACTGTTGTTCAGTTGGCCTGGGCCAGGTTCGAACCTGCTAGCCTTGGTGTATGTGGCTACGCCACTATGCTACGAGCGTCAAGGCTGAAATTCTGTATTTTCACATAAAGCCTTAACACACTGAGAAATTTTATTATCTAAAAGCAGAAATTTTTAATTTCCTTTTACTATACTTTTCCAAACACTGTTATAGTTGAATAGCCGGCCGGTAGAATAATGGATTCTGCAACTGTATGGGATTTCATTTTCCTAATATTTCTGCAACTTGCTTCTTCTGCTTTATCTGGTATCACTGCATGTTTAGTCTGTAGTTGTGCTTCTTTATTTAGTATTACTGAGTACAAGTCATTTGAAATATTCCACCAGCTTTTTGGACAAGTGGGAATGTCTGGATTGGAAATGTCTCTTTAATTTATTAGGAACCATAGTTTCATTTGCTAATGTCCTGCCATAAACTATGCATGTAGGATGTAGTGGATTTCCTTTACTATAAATGAAACTGAATGATAAATAATCTTCATTGTGTTGATGACTGATTTGTTTTTGTTTTTTGAGACAAGAGTTCTGGTGTCATAGCTCACAGCAATCTCAAATTCTTCAGATCAAGTGATCTTCTAGCTTCAGCCTCCTGAGTAGCTGGGGCTACAGGCACCCACCACAAAACCCAGCTAATTCTTCTAATTTTTTTTTTTTTAGTAGAGACAAGGTCTCACTCTTGCTTAGGCTGGAACTATTTTTAATTTAGTTGCCAATGTACTGGATGAAGCAGTATTTAACACATTAGGATCTTCTAGTTTGTCTCTTTCCTAAAGACTTGTCCATTTTAATTGAACATTATATAATTAAAAAAAATTGTAATAAAATTTTAAATGCCAAAAAAATTAATTAAAAAATAAAATGCCAATTAGGCTCAGCACCCATAGCACAGTGGTTACGGGGCCAGCCACATACACAAAGATTGGCAGGTTCGAATCCAGCCTGGACCAGCTAGACAATAATGACAACTGCAGTAAGAAATAGCTGGGTGTTGTGGTGGACGCCTTTAGTCCCAGCTACTTGGGAGGCTGAAGCAAGAGAATCACTTCAGCCCAAGAGTTTGAAGTTGCTGTGAGCTATAACGCTCTACCAAGGACGATATAGCAAGACTTTGTCTCA